TAAATATGGACTGCATATTAGAAAGTAGTATTATGTCAATATTAAATGTCCTGAGTGCGATAATTGCACTGTGGTTACAGAGGAAAATATCCTCATTTTTAAAAGATACATGCTGAGAGTTTGGGGGCCTAGGTGTCTAGATATCTGCAACTAACTATCAAATGGTTCAGCTAAACAACACACATATGCACAAAGGGAGGAAAAGAGGGAGGAGGGAAAGGAAGAAAATGTGACAAAATGTTAAAATTGTTGAATTATGTAAATGGTATATAGATATCCATTGTACATTTCTTGCAAATTTTCTATAGGTTTTCTATTTTTCAAAATACAATATGGTTGGGGGAGAAAGGGAGCTTTTTATATGGTCACTGCAAGAAGACAGCATAGTTAGAGATACTTAGATAACCTGAGAACCAGTAAGTATTCTTTAGTTGCGTGAATCCTTGCCAAGAGTTCAAGCTCCAGCAGAAAGCCTCCGGAAGATATTGGAGACAGCCAAAGTTAGCAACAACAAAATTAACTAGTTAATACAGGACACCCAGTTAAATCTGAACTTCAGATAAACGAGCAATTTCTTTTTTAGTATAAGTATGTCCCAAGCATTTTATCTGGCAGCCCCACTCAGAGAAGCACTGTGGTCTGTTCCATGCCCAGGGGATAAAGTACAACAGTTCAAGAATACTAGAACCATTCAAGATTAGAGCCATTGGTAATTTTTATTTACTATTTTTATTTAATCAAAGTCTACTCCATTTTCTGTAATGAAGACTACTCTTCAACCTATATTTTCTCCTTACATATGGTTGGTACAGCCCTAATTTAGGCTTCATTTTCTCTCTCTGCATTGCGAAGCTTTCCCCCACTTCCACCACCTTTGACTTCTAAATACTACTTTCCCATCCTCTTCACTACCTTTCTCCCTTCTCAATTTCTACCTGTTTGGCTCAAGAGAGAATAGTTTCAAAGCAATAGATGATACTTAGCTGAGACTGCTTCTGGAAATTTGAGTCACTGTGTTAACCCCACCCAATGTCATTAGTTAAATGCCTTGACCTAGGCTGGTTGGGGATCCTCCCCTCCCAGTGGAACCCCTGGATGTCTTGACATAGCATTTTTGGTACATTTGGCATCCATCAGGCCAGAGCAGCTCAGAGAAAAGTTTTATATATTACACTCTCTGAAATTCTCTTTTATCAGAAATGCAAATCAAAACTGCAATGAGGTCACCTCACACTGGTCAGAATGGCCACCATCAAAAAATCTACAAACAACAAATGCTGGAGAGGGTGTGGAGAAAAGGGAACCCTCTTGCACTATTGGTGGGAATGTAAATTCGTACAGCCACTATGGAGAACAGTATGGAGGTTCCTTAAAAAACTACAAATAGAACTACCATATGACCCAGCAATCCCAATACTGGGCATATACCCTGAGAAAACCATAATTCAAAGAGTCATGTACCACAATGTTCATTGCAGCTCTATTTACAATAGCCAGGACATGGAAGCAACCTAAGTGGCCACTGACAGATGAATGGATAAAGAAGATGTGGCACATATATACAATGGAATATTACTCAGCCATAAAACGAAATGAAATTGAGTTATTTGTAGTGAGGTGGATGGACCTAGAGTCTGTCATACAGAGTGAAGTAAGTCAGAAAGAGAAAAACAAATACCGTATGCTAACACATACACATGGAATCTAAAAAAAATGGTTCTGATAAACCTATGGGCAGGACAGGAATAAAGATGCAGACATACAGAATGGACTTGAGGACACAGGGACAGGGAAGGGTAAACTGGGACGAAGTGAGAGAGTGGCACTGACATATGTACACTACTAAATGTAAAACAGATAGTGGGAAGCTAGTGCATTGCACAGGGAGATCAGCTCGGTGCTTTTTGACCACCTAGAGGGGTGGGATAGGGAGGGTGGGAGGGAGGCGCAAGAGGGAGGGGATATGGGAATATATGTGTATACATATAGCTGATTCACAATGAAACTAACACAACACTGTAAAGCAATTATACTCCAATAAAGATGTTTAAAAAAATTCCCTCTTATCACTGAAGCTCCTTTTTTGGTCTTATCAGCTTCTCTTATTTTTCTTAATGTCTAAATGCTGGACAGCCTCAGTGTTTAATTCTGGGCATTATCTCTTCTCTCCCTTGGGTCCAGTGCTTCCCGAAGTTCAATCATATGTATATCGTCTTCATGATTTTTGACATCTCTCAATAATTATTACTAGTTTTCTTTAAATGGATATGGGTTTTTTTTGCAGTACGCGGGCCTCTCACTGTTGTGGCCTCTCCTGTTGCGGAGCACAGCCTCCGGACGCGCAGGCTCAGCGGCCATGGCTCACAGGCCCAGCCGCTCCGCGGCATGTGGGATCTTCCTGGACCGGGGCACGAACCCGTGTCCCCTGCATCGGCAGGTGGTCTCTCAACCACTGCGCCACCAGGGAAGCCCGGATATGTTTTAATTTATATCTTTTTAATTAATTTTTATTGGAGTACAGTTGCTTTACAATGTTGTGTTAGCTTCTACTGCACAGCAAAATGAATCAGCCATACGTATACATATATCCCCTCCATTTAGGACACTACAGTGCATTAAGTAGAGTTCTCTGTGTTATCCTAATTTATATATTTTAAAAGAAGATTTTATACCACAACTATAAAGAGGAATTTAATATCATAAATAGAAGATAAATCTAAAAATAAAACCTCAAAATATATAAAATGTAATTTTTTACTTAGATTTAAAATAATCAATAAAACAAATTATTAACATATAAACAAATTATTAAAATGCACACCCCAAAATAAATTACTCACGAGAATAACTGAGCTTTTCAGGATCAGTCAGGAATAGTGACTGGATGTTTGGCATCACGTTCCCTGTCTTGGGCTTACAGTTAGAAACTGAATATCAGGAGGGAAGGTAATTTGCTGAAGATCAAAACAAAGTAGAGGCAGAGCTGGATCTATAGCCTGAGACTAATGAACCGCAGTTGCAGAGAGTGGTCTCAAAAATAGAATTCAGAAAGGAACACCAGCTCCTGACGGTGTGAGGGCTCAGTCAGGGGACAGGAGCTTGGTGCATGGTAGAGTAAAAAGAATATAAACACTGAAGTCTACAAGGCTGTGGTCACGTTGTGAATAGGCCGGTAAAGCCATGTTACCATAAGCCTATGACTACTCTTTGAACCTCGGTTTTCTGACTAACTCACAAATTGTAGAACTGCGAGAAGACAATCAGACACAAGTACTGAGTGCTCAGCCCAGTGGTTACACAATCAGTAGAAGTTTCCTTCCTTCCTCTCCCATCTTTGTATCACCAACACTGCCACAGACCTACCCACCACTAGCTATTATCTCCTTTTGAAGGAGATATGGATTTTTTTTCTTCTGAATAATCCAGTCCTGATTTCTCTCCATCATTGCCCTGTGTCCAGTGCTGGGAGAAAGGACTTCATCTGTGCTGGGCTGCTTGGCAAGGAGAGAGGCAGCAGCTTCCTGGTGTCTTTTGGGGGTTGGGTCTGTAAAGATGAAGATGGCCTAGAGATGACTTCTAAAAGCCTCAGGTAACCCTCAGCTTTCAGTTGCAATGGAAGGGCTGCAGGTTTTAGGGGGTAGCACATGAGCCCAGGGATATTCTCAGGTTCCTGATCCAGTGGATACTCAAAGGCCTCTTGGGAAGTTCGACCCCAGGAAAGCCGTGGGGGGCAGGGCTGTGGGGAACCTAAAAAAGTCTAGAGTGCAGCATTTGATAATTGTGAAGATGAGAAGCAGGCAACGGGACCTAAGAAAGAGCTGGGAGTTGGGTATTCAGTTTCCATGGGAAAAGGGGCAGCTGAAACTTGGAAGTAGGGAGAGGAAGGAAAGATGGGGCTGCTAGTCTCCGTGGCAACAGGGAGGGGAGCAGAACTTTCCATCACTCAGAGAGTAAGATTAGTTGAGGGAAAAGTTTGAAACATGTGGCCCATCCCCAGACTGGAACATGGGGGAAGTAGACTACCGAAGAGAAACATGGGATGATTTCAGGAGTGTGAAAATAACAGCAGGACACAGTCAAGCAGAGAACTGAAATTGGCACTTTCAGGTATACTTGAGATTCCTTGTGTTCTTGAAAAGAATCCAGATGTTTCTGGATTCTTTTTTTTTTTTTTTTTTTTTTTTGCGGTACGCAGGCCTCGCACTGTTGTGGCCTCTCCCGTTGCGGAGCACAGGCTCCGGACGCGCAGGCTCAGCGGCCATGGCTCACAGGCCCAGCCGCTCCGCGGCACGTGGGATCTTCCCGGACCGGGGCACGAACCCGTGTCCCCTGCATCGGCAGGTGGTCTCTCAACCACTGCGCCACCAGGGAAGCCCCTCTGGATTCTTTTTGATGCCAAGGAAGACAGACAGCAAAGTAGCCAGGAGATTGCCAACTGGGGGGAAGTAGTGGACCACCCACAATGAAAATCTCCTGGGAGTTGCAGCTAGATCCCAAGAGGGATGCATGATGCCATCACGTGTAGTAGGATGGGTCCAAGCTGGCAACAGCGAACCACTGGAGATGGACTAAGCTGACAGAACTAACCACGAGTCCATGAGTCTCAGACCTCAGCATCAGATATCCAGCAACAAGGCAAAGAACTAAGCCTAGAAAGACCAAAGAAGCAAGAGGACTCCCTCAAAGAGCCTGTGGATGTGTATCTAGGCACACTTCTTTCCAATCATATGACTCCAGATCATCACATCTCCAGATAGCATGCAAAGGAAGTGGAGAAGGAAATCTGAACAATAGGGTGTATACCCAAGAGACCAAACCATCAAAGATATGATTTAAATTAGCAAAGACTTGAGATATGTTAACTGGCAAGTTAAATTTTTTTTCCCATAGTTCCCAGAGGGAAGTAGAGCCCCAGAGTAACATTAGCTCAAATTTAGGAGGAAAAAAAGTACATTCATCTAAGTGAAGTCTTAAATTTTCAATTTCAGGACATTTTTTACCTTTACCATATTTTTCAACACTTTGAAAACAGGGACTGTGACTATTTCTCTCATATATCAGGCACATATCAGGAATTCAACATCTGTTGAAAAAAATGAAACGGATGAATGACCCTAAATAAATGGCTAACTCTGGAACAGCACAGTCTAGGTTTTAGTTCATAGCGTATACTAGCTCACTGATTTTCCTAAGGTTTGAAAACAAGCACTGGAAATAAAATTCCTTTACTTTACACAACTTCTTAGGTCATAAATATAAGGTCCTGAAACAATTTAAACTAAGAGACTTTGCGGCAGGCAGAAACGGGATCCTGTTAGCCCTCTGTAATTTGTTAATGATCTCTAAGGCAGACAGCCCCCATATTTCTGCTCCAAATTGTTGGAAATATGTCTGGACCATGACACAATCACTGCAAAGATTCTGAGAAAATCAGTATTCCCTCCAGTGACATCCAAAAAAGAATCAAACCAAACTTTTCAACTGGATTTTATGAACTCCATGACCAATTTAAATTCCCATTACAGTACAATATTGACAGAAAGAGGTATCTTACCTGTCAATATCTGTTGATTAGTATTGCATCTTGTTTTAGAGAGCCTCATTTATCCTCAAGATGAATCTTAAAAGTACATTTTGAATAGAAGTTAGGCTTTGGGAAACACACTGAAGAAAATGCAAATAAAAAATATTTTAAACTCTTAAAAAGATGTGTCCTCTACTGTTCCTGTAGAACTCTAGACAGTCAAGAGTGACATTTCCTAAACCGGTTGTTCCATACAGAGTTACTCGGCTGGGTGTGGTGGTGCTGCTCTTCCATATAATAAATGTAATAATGTATCATCACACTCCCTTTGGACTCCATAAAAGGCCATTGTCTGCCTGTCAGATTAATGCCTTGATTGTCATGTATTTTCAGAACCAAAGTATCTAGATAAAGCATTGTACAAAAGTTGTACCTACCTGTTTTAAATCACCTTTAGTATAGACAGTGGTTAAAAACAGACTCTGCCTCATTTGGGTTTGGATTCCAGCGGTTCCATTTACTTCACAATAAACGCTACTTCGCCCACCATCTTTAAAAGGGGGATAATGCTATTCTCCTAGTGGGACTGTTGTGAGGATTAAATAAGTAATTATTTGCAAAGCCCTCATAACAGTGCCTGGCAACAGCCGGTACTAATGTGTTCATTTTAAGACCATTATCCCCACAGAATCTCATGGCTTTAAATTTAAATACCCTTAAAGAGAAATCAAAAACTGTTGCATTTTCTCAAAGCTCCTTAATTTTATTAGTTGCTCGAGGCTTTCCAAGCATTTAGAACACTGCAGATAGCATGGAAGGTAAAGTCAATGGAAAAGAGAGAGAGAAAAAAGGAACCCAGTTGTTTGCTAGTTGCACTAAAAGTCTCCGTTTGAAAATTCGAGTATGAATGCCCTCCTTGGTCATCCTTTGCATTTACACATTTTCTGCGAAACCAGATTTTGTTTTTAATCCGTACACAATCCAAGAAAAAAGCACAGCATTTCTTTCTCTAAGCCATACTGTGATCCGGATGAACAGCGGAGGCTTAAAAGCAAGGGTCGGCCATTAAGACCTCACTGAGACGTTCAATCACTCGAATTATCAGTAAAACAGCACGAGCGCCACGAGGCCTCAGACCCACGCTGAACTTGCCCTGGAGTGGAGCATCCAGGGGCAAAGCGAGTCTCCGACCCGACCCGGGCACACGGCTACGCCTCACCGCGGGCTTCGCTTCTCTCGCAGAGAACCAGAGGCTTCCTCCGCACACCTCCCCAGTGCCTTTAAAGCCCAGGAGAGAGAGGAGCCCAGGCGAGGACAGCTCCGAGCGAGCAAGAGCGGAGAGCCTACACTCCGACCCCGACGCAACTCCCGACTCCCGACTGCCGGAAAATGCGCCCGCGCGGCGGCGGCGGCGGCGGCGGAAACGAGAGCGGCGGGGTGGTGGAGTTTCCGGCGTGCGCGGCGGAGCGCTCGGACTGGGGCACGGCCGGCATCTAATAGCGCACAATGAGACAGCGCTGAGCGCCGGAAGTGGGGCTGGAGGAAAACACGGAGAGGGAGCCCGGCCGGGACAGGAAGAGGTGGGGGGCCGCGGCGGAGGTGGTGAGTGCTCACGGGCACCGTTTCCCCCCGTGTCCCTGTCAGACTCGCGTCCGGGGAGGGTCTTGGGTGGGTTCTCCGGTCTGCACAGTCGCGGGTGGGTCCGGCCCAGGAGATACGTTGGCTGCATCCTCCGCCGGCCTCCTCTCCCCAGTTGCGAGGTCCAGGGAACCCCCGAGCCGGTGGGGACTGAGCTGTCGGGCTCGAGTCCGCGTCTTCACTTTGTGTCAGACCCTGCGGGGGCTGGAGAAGAAGGGATCTGGGTGGAGGCACTCGGCCCCAGCCCCCTGTCCGGCCGGGGAGACCCCGGAACCCTATCGAGGAGGCAGGTCACTTCCTGCTTCCTGGTCCCCGCGGTGGCTTCTTGGCCAGAACTGCGGAGACGCCTCCTGTTTCTCCGCCTCCGACCCAAAGGGTGGAAAACGAGGCAGATCGGGGGTGGGGCGGTCCCATGGGGATCGAAGAGGGAGAATTGCTGTTCGTGACAAAACCAAACTTGTTTGGGGTGGGAGGATGAGGACTGGGGGGATTAGCTTGAGTTGTCCCTTGGTCAGAAAGCCAGCCCCACTGACCGGAGCGGAGCCTTGGTCGGGAGCCCTCCGTAGCCCAAGAGATCGAAGCCTGTCGTTCTGAATAGTCTCAAGCGGAGCCGAGGTGCCGGGGTACGTAGAAGGGACTGAAAAGTGGAGTTGAGAGATGTACTGCGTTTACAAAGTTTCGGTTACTTTGTAGTAACACTTAAAAGTAATTGCCAGCTTGTTTTTAAAAGACTGGGGAGTTCTCTAAAGTATAGGCTTGGGGTGAGGTATTTGGTTTTGGGGGGCTTTGGGGGGTTCTGAAGAAAAGAGCTTTTGTTATATCTATATAATATCTATGAAGAATACTATAGAATTAAGCCTCCTAACTTCTAGCATAACGCACTAATTATTGGAACGTGATGGAAATTAGGAAAAGAAGGGTTTCTTACAAGCTTTTGAGCATCTGTGCAATAAATGTGTGGTACTTTGTGAACTTAGTATGATACCTTGTTATAGTTGGTCTCCAAAATGCCTTCTTCCAGGTGAAGAGTAAGAAAATTGAAGTCAAAGATCATGGGAGATGCCACAAAACCTTATTTTGTGAGGCGTGCTAAAGAGCGAGGGACTACAGATGATGAGGATTTCAGAAGGGGTCACCCCCAGCAAGATTATTTAATAATGGATGATTATGCTAAAGGGCATAGCAGTAAAATGGAAAAAGGCCTTCCAAAAAAAAAAGGAACACCAGGGAACTATGGGAATACCCCCAGAAAAGGACCATATGCTGTTTCTAGCAATCCATATGCATTTAAGAACCCAATTTACAGTCAACCCGCTTGGATAAATGACAACCACAAAGATCAGAGTAAAAGATGGCTATCTGATGAACTTGCTGGTAATTCAGACAGTTGGAGAGAATTCAAACCTGGACCTAGAATTCCTGTTACAAACCGACCAAGAAGAGACTCTTTTCAAGAAAGTGAAGATGGGTATAGGTGGCAAGATGGAAGAGGGTGCAGAACTGTAAGACGACTATTTCATAAAGACCTGGCAAGCCTCGAAACTATGTCAGAAATGGAAGCAGGAAGCCCTGGTAATGTTTCCAACTTGTCAAGTTACAACCCTGACGTCAGCAATGTCTTTTATTTTTCATTCAAATGAGTTTTATTATTTTCAGCAATGCAGTTCCAGTTTTTCATAGTTTCTGCTTATTTAATGTGATTATTTTAAGGATTGTAATCATGTTTTTTGGGCAACTTCAATATGTTGCATGTATTTCCCTTTAAAAGTTTACTTTGCCACAAGGCTTATTTTACTTTAGTAAAACTATATTTCCCATTGGTACTTTTTACAGAAGAGGGTGATGATATCCCCCTGGGGATATATCGTAATTTCTGAGGGGTATGTATGTGTTTTCTAAATTATGTATTTTAATTTTGTACTTGAATAATGAATGTATCTGTAATATAAATGACAGAATATAAAGCTTAAAAAAAAACTTATTCTATGTAAAAACACGATGTAGACTGCATATATCTCCTGCTACAGAGGGATATGTGTCTTTTGTGTGGATCTCAATCTCTAGAGAAGGATAGTGCAAGATTTTTTTTCTCAAAAGTGAACATGGTAAACAGGTTGAAAAACATTGTTTAGAAAGTCAGAAATTCAGATAAGATAAAAGCTTGTCCTTTTAGTTTCAGTAAAACCAAAAGCCTTCTAAGCACCCTATGTGCTTGATAATAATTGCCCCAGAGTTATTATTTATACCTTTTTCTAAAAGGTGAATAGATTTTGTCCATGTAGCAGAAGAACAGAAGAATCAACCAGCCTCGTAAATCTTTAAGCTAAAAAGAACTTGAAGGAATTGCAGTGCTCTGTCATGGTGTATCAAAGGTAGAATCACAATTTTATTCAATACAAAGCAGATAGCTGTGTCTCTGGAGAGGTTAAATTTATCCAGGCTTGCGTATGCAGAGTGGTAGATGAGGAAGTGGAACTGAAATCAAGTACTGTGCTGCTCTGGCCATGAACTCGGCCTGGAATCTGACAGAGGGAACTGAACACGTATTCATAGTTTCTGGCCTTTCGATTCTAAAAGTTTGTGTATATTTAAGTAGTTCTTCATTACTGTGTCCAGGCGAGACATGGACATTCTAATTTAGTTACCAATTGTTGGTCTTTCAGAAAAGAAAAAGTTGATCTTAAGCAGCATTACCAAAAGAAAGATTTATAGGTCAAAAGTTTGCAACCAGATAGATATTAAAAGAGACTGTTTACAGACCAAAAACCTCTTATTCTGTATTCTGTATTCTATATTCTTATTCTATATTCTGCCTAGTCTTAAAAGCAAAGCTTAAGTGATTTTGAATAGGACCTGCATTTTTACTATCTTTTTGTTGAAGTCAATCCAAAAGTCCTGTGTTTGCGATATATGAAATTATATGTGTGTGCTTTCAGTTTCCAAATGAAGGACTGTTCAGTTTCTATCCCTTGAAAAATCTTCATGAAGAAAATATTAAGCTTTGGCATAACATTGCTTACTGTAGTGAGAAATTCAGTTTAAAGTATAAACTTTACACTGTACTCAGAGGATCCTAAAAAGGATCTCACTAAAGGGACTGAAATTTTTCTTAAATCAAACTTATATCTTAATAAGGAAGGAAGATATTAAGTTTGATTCCTTAAATCAAACTTAATATCTTAATATTCCTTAAATCAAACTTATATCTTAATCATCTTATTAAATGATGCAAGAAGATATAATGAAAATTATCTTAGAGTTGCTTTGTTTTTTAATGCTAACTTTCTATTTTTCAGTTCTACTTGACTGCCCCTACTTCATTCCTCATATATCCTAGATTGCCAATTTAATATATTTGGGACAATGCCATTAATGATCTTAGCTGGAAAATATCTGCTCAAATGCACTTGTCCTTTGTGAATGGAGTAATGGACCATATGCAAATGAAATATGAGAAACTTGGAGTACTGTATATAGAGAATTCATATTACTACAAAAAGCCTGGGATGAGCCAGGTAGTTTTCCTCTAAGTAATTATGAGAATTTTTTTTAGCAATACCCAGCTTTGCCTTTCTAGATTCCCTTCAATGAGATTTTAACTGTTTTTACCATGCAGGCCTATGAAACTCAGTTCAGAAGTTTGTATTGCCTTGTCAGTTCCTGCCTTTTTTTTTTTTTTTTAACAAACTAAGTGGTAGGGAGTTCTGGTCTATTTTAGATGTGAATGGGTTTGCTACAAGAAGGGATTTTTCTTATACTGTTAGATAGAAAAATGAATTTCAGAATTCCATCCATGCTCTAATCTCTGTTTTAAATCCCTTTATTGGATTTAGTCATGTGTCCCTGGACAAGTTACTTATTTTCTTGGACCAGCATGTTCCCTATCTGTATAATGGGGATAATATTAGCATCCATGACAGGATCACTGTAGGGATTAATCTGAGGCAGTGCACATAAAGTGCTTACATTGCATCTGTCACATGATAAAATACTCAGTATTGGTAGCTGCAGTTACTGTCATCATCAGACAGTTTGTGCAGCCATCCACTTCTGTGTATAAAATAAGGAGTTAACTGTGCTCTTTGGAGGGAAATTAAAGTCACTCTTTCTAGAAAAATGATAGCAAATATAGTAAGAAGCCTTTGTGATCAAGAGAGAGGAGATGAAAAAAGGAATTTGGTTTCATATCAGTTTTTGTTTTGTGAACTAACAATGGACTTCTCTGATGATGTTGCACATAATGAGTGTTTGCCTAAGAAACTTTGCCCTGAAAACTGAAGTCAGATGCAGTTATTTAGAGTTTGTAACGATAAGCAAATTAAATGAGAATAGACACACCTCTGAGTTAAAAGAATTGCTTATCTCAAAGGTTTATGCGGACCAGGAGTACTGTCCTTAAAAGACTGTGATAATTTAATTGGGGTAGGGGGAGTGTTAAAAAGCAATAGACCATTTTTGACTACTTACCTTTTAGTATTCTATTTGTCCCATTTTGATTGCTTTAAAAAAAAAAGACAACTGTATTTGTCCTAATACTTGTTTAATTTTTTTTAATTGCTGCTGTATTTGCAGAATTTCATTATATTCATCTTAGGGTAGTTTGAGTACAGTGCTTGCTGCTTTTCCTTTAGAGCTGTTGGCGATAGCTGTTTTTAAAATTAGAGGTCCTATACGTCCCTTTCCTGACATAATTTCTTTTCAGTCGACTGATTCATCATACTTGCTATACAAATAATGAGTTCCACTGAAAACTTGACATGGCAGTTGCCTCAGGCAGAGCATTTCAGTAGGTTTATATTTTCAGAGAGTAATTTTTGGTAAGCCATTTAAAAACTATTCAGTCCACTTATCACAATTTTAATTGTGGAAATGAATTTCATTTTACTCTTATGTGGTACTAGTAGCTTCATTTTCAGAACTTGATAGAAATTACCAAAGCTATTAAAAACAATTTTTTGTAGATCAGTCCCACAAGCATCTTCAGTTTTACTGAAGTTGAAAAGTTATAAGTTTAAAAAAGGAATAGATTCATTTATTAGTTATAAGGACTGTAGAACTAACAGCAGGGTTTATAAACAAATGAATTAGTCTGTACTTGTAGAAAACTTTTATTTCAACTGCTAATTGTTTTTTTCCTTTGAAATATGCTCAGTGTGCAGGCCGTTCAAAGAAGCTAAAATGAAAGTAAAGATAAAATGGGTAATAGTTATCCTCGGTAAATACAGTTTTGGCTTGGACTTCTTGATATTAATGTGGGGGAGGGCCCAATAATATGAATGCTAAATTTACAATTTAGTGATGGATTTTCACTCCAGATAAGAATGTAGTTGATTTCTGAGTTCTTTGGAGATAGACTGTCCATCTTTGCTCCATTGAGACTGTTCACTTATAAAAAATGAAAACAGATGTGGATAGTTTTCATTAGAATACCAGGTGTACTAGGAAGCGTTAGATACATGTACATTATATATTATGATATATTAATTACATTAGAATTACAGGTGTACTTCAAAGGATAATTTTTACTATTGCTTGAGTATGCTCAGCAGTATACCAGGAAGAGATAATAAAATCAAATTTTATGGTTGAAGTAGAATTCTTTTAAGTTTTCCAAAAAGGTGGTTTCTGTGGATTGGTGTGTCCAAATGTGAGGAGCTTAAGAGTATTTAAGCATTTTATCCATGGGAGAGGTATACCTTTCCTTTTGCTCTGTGTTCAGATGCCATTCAGATATCACATGATTTCATTAATAAATATGTAAGTTCTGCTTTTCACTCAGAGTGCTGTTATTCAGTATTGCCAATAATATTTTCCCACTAACTTAAGAAAACAAGAAGCAGAGGTCCAGACCTAGGAAGCCGCGGAGGACTAGAAATGAGGAAAATGAACAGGATGGAGACTTGGAAGGCCCTGTGATTGATGAGTCTGTGCTTTCAACTAAGGAGCTACTGGGCTTACAGCAGGCTGAGGAGCGATTGAAAAGAGACTGCATTGACAGGCTGAAAAGGGTAACAGCCTTTTGTTGGTTAAAATTTGTTAGTTAAAATCCTTGTTTTGGTTTAATCTATTAGTAATTGGGAACATGTGCTTTGATGAATTATATATCCTACTTTGGTATTTAAGCACTACAAGTCAAAAGTGATACTGTTTGATTTAATAGACTTACTTTTTTTTTTAAGAATTATTTTTAAAAAATGATTATTAGCATAGTGATAAAGAGTGATAGTACTATATTAACAGTTTTTAAAGTGAATGAGAAATCATCTCCTGGCCAGTTTTTGTTTACCTGTATTTTGTCTCTGTACATCTTTCTCTATATATATCTCTATAAATACGTGCTTATGTGTATGTCTCTATAAATCTATTCAAATTGTAGCGACCGAGAAACTACCCTACAGCAAAGTACACCTGCAAACTCTGTGATGTTTTAATTGAATCCATTGCATTTGCTCATAAGCATATCAAAGAGAAGAGACACAAGAAAAACATTAAGGTAAGTTTACTATAACCCAAACAAATATGTTTACTTGTCAGTTATTACTTGTCATCTTTATGACTTTCCTTAAGATTATGGTATTAGTAATTTTGCTACTTATATTGCTGAATTTATTTTGACCAAAATATTTTATATTGGTCAGATATGTTTGCTGGGCAGTCTTGTGAATTTCCTTAGAACAGTATCAGGATGAATGAAGCCAATGGTAGGACCTAGATATATGTCCTTAGGTCAGTAATAATAAAGTAAATAATTTGCCATTGCTATTTCTAAAGTTCTTTCTTTACACTTTTTCCTTATTCCTGTCTTCCCTCTATTATCACTTTATGTACATAAAGAAATGTGTGCGTGTTTGATAAGATGAAGACTAAAACAGCTAAAGTGAGAAGGAGGGCTAAGAAAAATATTCCAGAATACTGTACAGGGTGTTGTCTCTGTGAATGGTAGAAGGTAAAAACTGTGTGAATCATTTTTAATCTCAACATTGATATTAAAAGGAGAAGCAGGAGGAAGAGTTGCTCACCACGTTACCCCCGCCTACACCCTCCCAGATAAATGCGATTGGTATTGCCATTGACAGAGTGGTACAGGAGTTTGGCTTACACAATGAGAACTTGGAACAGAGACTAGAAATTAAACGTATCATGGAAAATGTGTTCCAACACAAGTTACCAGGTACTTTCTAGATTCGTTTTTCTTTTTAGCTACCTAAAAGTACCCCATTCATTTTTCCTACCAGCAGTAATTTTTGCCTAATAGAAATTGATTTGCCATGTCCTGAAGCTCTCAATTTTATTGTATGTTTTTGTTTCTCCTGGCTTACCCTAAGGTAACAAAGACTTTTACATATGTTGTCATTAACCTGTCTTCATTGTGAGTTTCATTGTGTCTGTCCATTTACATGCCCTGTATTATTAGAGCACCATGGGACTCTTGTATATCTGTTTACCTTTCTATTTATTTATTTACTTTCTATCTCTAAGTTCAGTTTCTTTTTTTTTAATTGAAGTATAATTGACATACAATATATTAGTTTCAGGTGTACAACATAGTGATACAGTATTTTTTATACATTACAAAATGATCACCACACCTTTCTACCTATTTACATTGACACAATATTTTGAGTTAAAATAAAGAAAAGTATCCTGGAGTCATTTTCAGGTTATCTGTGTCCATAAAAGGTTCTATTTAACCGCACTTAAAAGAATTGCACCATCTAAAATGAGCTTTCAAAACTAATTTGTAAGAGATTTTGTGCAGCGTTGAATTGATTTTTTCCAAGTTATGTCTGTGGAGCCATGGAAAACTATTTTTTTTGAAAGCTCCACAAGTGATTCTGATCCACAGCCAGGGTTGAAATCACTATTTGAATTTATCTCCATACTACCCATAAAACTGTTTGTTCTACTGAAAGATCATTCATGTAGTATATGATTCATATTAATATATATCTGTTAAAAAAAATAAAGGGCAAGATTCTGCTCATCCCCCTGTATAGGTGTCTTATCCTTTATGTTGTAGACAAGCTCCTGAGAAGTCATTTGTAATTTTGATTTTTGCCATAGATTTTCATTGTAAAATTGAATGTGCTTTGTCATGGAAAACCTGTTAAAACCCAAAGAAGTTGTTTGACTTAACAAACCTGGAAAAAAAAAAAATACAAAGTCCCCTGGTGAGAAGGGGTAATTTTTTGGCACAACAATAGTAAAACATTGGGGAAAATGCTGTAAAATAAATATAGGTGGTACACATACACACGTCTTCCTCTGAACTGTGAATCTCTTGCTGCCTAACATTTTAAGTTATATCAGTGATACTATAATTATTTTCTAAACTTTTCCTAAAGGGATTATATTATGTTAAATTAAGCTTTTTGTTCATAATACAATGAGTATTCATATTGAAAAGTAACTTTATGCTGATTTTTGTGATTATTGTTTTACTGAAACATGATCTTTATAGTAAATTATACCTATGTACGGTTTCAAAAAGGTGAAGTGTTTGTATTAACTCTTCAGTATGTACATACTATCAGGTTTACAAACGTATGACAAAGTTAGGCATCCCTTTTCGACTTCCACATTTAAAAAATCATTTCAAATAGTATTTTCTGCACAAAGCATGAAATAGTAAAGTAAGTTTTAACATGTTTTACAACTGATATGAAAAGAGTGGCTATTAAACTAAACTGCAGTCAATACAGTCTTCCCTTTTAAATAAAATAAAATGAAGACAAGAGCAAAGAGTCACCCATTCTTGTCCTTTGCTTATGCCAGACTTGAACACTGTTTTTCTTTTGTGTGTAGTTCTAATTGATGGTTACATTTCTGAAATAGCAGTGTCTTGTAATAACTTTTGAGAAATTTTACTTTATTTATGACTTGTATTTATTCAATTTTTTTTGTTTTAGATTGTTCTCTGAGATTATATGGGTCATCCTGTAGCAGACTGGGTTTCAAAAATTCGGATATAAACATTGACATTCAATTTCCAGCCATTGTAAGTACAAAGTGAAATGTTAGAATTTTCACAGAGTGGTACAGAAATTCATTTTTTTCCCAAATGTGAGCTATATATGGATATATTTTAGACACTTGAAGACAGTTTAAGTGTGATGTTTTTTTCCTAAAACTGCATTGTTTTTAAAAGTATAATTTTTTTTCCTAAAATTGCTGTTTTTATGTTCTTCTGCATGCCTTCAATTTTAGAGCATTTCTTTTTATTCTACAGATCTTTCATACTTTCTTGAGACACTGGTCTTCTAACCATGTGAATCTGATCGGGTAATTTAGGTCTGTTAACTTGAAAGGATTAAATTATCTTGATAAGTCAACTTTCCAATGGCAGGAAAGGGTTTCAGATTTCAAATTGTGTATCTATATAAACATTTATGACCTGCACGCTTAATTTGTTCCTGAGTTTCCTTATATACACCCACCTTGTAAAAATAATTATGCTTTTGAAGAACTACACCTAGCCTAGATTTCTGGTTTAAACATGGTTCAAAAAGATGTTGATAAGTCAGAACTTTAAAACTGGAAGGCACTTTGGTAGATTATCCATTTACTTACTGGTGGTTCCTGCAGGACAGTTTGCAAATGGTTTATGCCCATTTACTTGTCTTGCTACTTAAAAATAAAAATGATCCCTAGTCTCCTCCCCCAGATATTCTGTTTCACAACTTCTCATTCCTTGCCATCCCTGACTGCTATAGCTACCTGGTCAGCTGACCAATAGATTTTACTGTTCTTTTAACCTTAAATTCTGCTTAATAATTTACCAGCATAGCAGTTATTTTGATTTCATGTCATTCATTCATTTAGCAAATATTCAGTGAGTTTGAGTATATGTCAAGCACCATACTAGGTTCCAGAGGACAAAACAGATACCATTCCTCCCTCCTGGAATTCATACTAGGAAGGAGATAAGTAATTATGTATGTATAATTAATTATAATGAGAGCTATGCAGGGAAACAAGGTTCTGTGAGAGAAAATAAAAGAGTGTAGATATAGCTGTCCTGAAGGCCCCTTTGAAGGGATTACATTTAAACTGAACTCTAAAAGATGAAAATGGGTGGGGACAGTGAAAGGGTAAAAGAGTGTTTCAGCCTGAGGGCACATCATTTGCAAACAGTGAGTTTGGCCTATTCAAGGCACGCTAAAGGGAAAATTGTAAGGGCTGTGGTGAAGGCACCTTGAGAAAGAATAGTTTAAGATTAGGATAGAAGAGTAGTCTGGGGCCCAACGTACAGGAAGCCAGAATTTCATTTTGACCTAAGGGCATTAAGAAGCCAGACTGAGAGTTTTAAGGAGGGTCACAACTAGATCTAATGTATGATTTTAAGTGGTTTTGGTTCCTGTGTGGAGCAAAGATTAATAGAGAAAGGCAAGACTAAAGTGGAGACCTGGGTAAGCAATCTGTTGAAGTAGTCTCACAGAGTGAGAAGTAATATTGTTAACAGTTTGACAACCTCTAGCCACAACTTTGAGATTTGCTGAGAGGCTAACTACCTCGGGAATTAGTGAATCAGGAGTTAACTGCGTAGTAGGTCTCTTTTTGCCCACACTCATCCTCTTTTTGCTCATCTCTCTGTGTCTGACTGATGTGTGCACACAGCACAATGATTAATTCCTTTACTCTGGTAGCAAGGTGCTTTCTAATTTGGGAAAGAATTTGGGTAATTTCAAACGACTGTGTATTATCTCAGTGAAGCAAAAGTACTTCTGGATTATTTGATATATTCACTGATTTATTTCCTAGATGTCTCAGCCAGATGTTCTCTTACTTGTCCAAGAATGTTTAAAGAACAGTGGTAAGGCCAAATTCTTTCCACATTTTGCTCTTAAATTTTTCTTTTGTCTATAATTTGAATATCTTATTTCTCAAACTTTGAAAATAAGAAGTCATGTTTTTTGATTTACTTATATGGGTAATATCCAAACAAAAAACTAAAGCAAATGCCCATGAATTATTAGCAAGTTAATTAGAGTCTTGTTAGTTGTCCTACTATGCAGAATAATTATTTTGTAAGTAAAGCTTTTAGCTTGGTGATAATGTCATAATTTAGAAAGATTATATTAGCCCTAGGCTGAGAGTAAAAGGAATCAAAATATGTAAAATTTACTCTTGAGGGTAAAAAACTAAAGGATAATCTTTTTAATTCTATGGTTTAAATTAATACTTTACAAATAATAAATAGTGTGGCCCAGCCCAGATGAATGAATCAACAAATCATTGTTCCCAGTTAGGTTTATCAGTTGTCCAGAGTAATGTCCAACCGAGGCTTGACGGCTTATGTGCTTTCCATAGGCCTCATTCAATTGTTTCATCCCTTGAATTAGTCTTTCCCATCCTTTTTGTTTTGATTGAATGAAACATTTAAACATTTTTTCTTATTTCAGTCAGTATGTATTTTGACCCCGTGTATTTTAGTAGCTTTTGCAGCAATTTTTTTTAATGTCCTATTCGTATTTCTAATTATGTTACCCACGTAACATTTAAATGTTCTAATTCAATAATGTAGTCATTTCTAATCAGACATTAGTTTTTCAAAATAAGGATTTTAAATTAATGTGATTACTTGATTCTTGAATATAATACTTTTTCCTTTTCAAGTCACTTTTATTTCATAATCATCTCTTGAGAACCTTATTTTGTAATGGTCTTTCAAAAGGTCAAACAGATAATTCACAACTGGTACTTGTACTTTATCTAGCTGTGCTTTTAAACAAAGGCTTAGTTAACTAACCTATCTGATATTCTTTTCTTTTTCCAGACTCTTTTATTGATGTTGACGCAGATTTCCACGCTAGGGTGCCAGTGGTGGTGTGCAGAGAAAAGCAAAGGTCTCTGCTTCTTTAAGCTGTTTATTAAGTACCAACCTGCCAAAAGCACTTGTACTTTACTCCATCTTAATGTCCAGTTTCTAGAATTGTAAGCTCCTATGTGGTTAATTTCACAAGCTTCCTGTTAGCATTCTCCCTCTACTGTTGGTGTTTAACACGAGAGGAAAAAGTGGTTTATTTTTAAAAGTAAAATTACTTAAAAAGAAAAAATATAGGAAGGAAGCATTTTGACCCATTTCAGTAAAAAACACCTCTGTCAAATAGTTACTTGCTCTAATCACCTTTATTTGCCATCCTTTTTAGAAGCATTTTAAACAGTGCTGAGTAACAGTTCACCCGGCTGTCTCTCCATCTGGAAGCATTACCATTACCACTGTAAATGGGTAGTTTGTAGGCTGTAATGATTTGCCATTAGGCAGATTCCTCCAACTAGGGAAAACACTCTTGCCCTTATAAAGATGAATTCATACTCCCATTCGAAAGATTTTACAGTATTCTCCTTACTTGCATTTTACCCCCAAAATAATTTTAATATATGAAAACATGAAGTTTTAGTTCTTGAAAAATAAAGTTTACTCCGACGACAGCTGCCCTATCTTTTTTGATACAATATTGAGATGACCCATAAAGGTTTAGTGAGTTAGAAGTATTTATTATCAGTGTAAATTAGTTGGTGGTGGTGTAAAAGACACCTGATACCTGTATAATACTTTCTCTTTTTCCTTCCCATTCTCACCCTCTACCCCCACCAGTGGTCTTCTTTGTAAAGTGAGTGCAGGAAATGAAAATGCTTGTCTGACAACAAATCATTTAACTGCCCTTGGAAAACTAGAATCAAAGCTGGTTCCTTTGGTGATTGCATTTAGGTACTGGGCAAAGGTAGGTTTGAGTTCTTTAAATGAATGCACATTCTGTGTGTGCATAAGCAGTATGCTTTGATTTTTACATGGTTCATTTAATCTTAAATGTTTGGATGCATATTTATAGACATCAAGGGAGTTGGCATCTGAGTATTAGAACAGAAAGTTTAATGTGTACAGAAAGGAAAACTCAGTTTCTATTTCACTATGACATATTGCTCAAAAGATCAAAATGCTTTATGATGCTTATTAAAAATTAGATTTGTGGGGGCTTCCCTGGTGGCACAGTGGTTGAGAGTCTGCCTGCAGATGCAGGGGACACGGCTTTGTGACCCGGTCCGGGAAGATCCCACATGCCAAGGAGCGGCTGGGCCCGTGAGCCATGGCTGTTGAGCCTGCGCGTCCGGAGCCTGTGCTCCACAACAGGAGAGGCCACAACAGTGAGAGGCCCGCGTACCGCAAAAAAAAAAAAAAAAAAAAAAAAAAATTAGATTTGTAAGTCAAATCCCAGAGTTATGGCCCAAGTGTTTACATTTTTTTTCTTTTCTTTGTAGTTCTGATCCCTCACCAAACAAAAGTAAAATTTTGATGCTTTAAAAAAGACCTCGAAAGCTATTTCCATATATTTGTGAGTGGAAGCAACCAGCTGGCATTTCAGTGATGTGTCCTAAATCTAACATTACTCTCAGCAGCTGGAGGCAAATTCAAAAACACATAGTTTGAATAACAGCAGAAGAGAATTCTGTCAGTCCCTCTCCCGTTTCCCCCTTTCTAGTGGTAGAATGGCACAGCTATTACCCTCAGAAAAATGCAACTCTCCCAGAATCATATTTTTTTGTACAAGTCTATCTCAAACCATAATTCTTTCCATGTTAATTGTGTAGCAGGGATTTTTATGGATTTCTCAGCTGACATCCTTGGAAGCAAGTTCACTTTATTTCATGAATTTATAAGGTTGTCTGTGCTTGATCAGCTTCACTAGCTAAAACCCCCATCCCTTAGTCTCAGTTTGGGGCTGGATCTTGTTCACGTTGTCCTGCTCAATTAAGAGAGACAAAATTACACTGCTTAAAGATTCTTGATGTGGGTTGTCAGGAAAACCTGATAAAAACATGTGTGTGGATTAAGGCGAATTATGGCCATCAGTGAAAAGTCAGTTTAGAGTGCAGGACTCCCACAAGTGGGTTAAGTCATTTTCTGCAGATCTAGAAAATATACTCATCACAATATTCCTACCTTTGTACCACATGAATCAAATACACTGTAAATAAACCAGGTCTTTGCTGAGGAAAAGACAATGTCTAAAAGCATTTATAAATGAAGTTGCAGCTTCATAAGATGAATCTCATCGATAGTATGTGACCCACCAACTGTTTACTTTTTAACTAGTTTCCAGAAGTGATTCTCAGGCACAGGAAAGTTTGAAATGAAGCTTCTCATACCATCTCCAGTAATATACCCAGAGACTCCCAAAAAATGAAAGCCACTATCTGATCTTGCTTTACATTTCTACAGTGTTTTACATATGGTATCCTATTGAAATGCTCAAATAATCATGAGAGCATCTAACATTTCCCCAAAATGTAAGGTCTTATCATGATTATAAAATTGAGATTCTGTGTAGAGAAAAGCCAAAGCTTTACCGATTAAGACATGGCAGTAACAATACGTAGTTCCTGTTGCTTGGGTCCAGGACCCAACAGGGACAGAGGATGTCCCACTCTTAACTGGGTGAATTGATAATCACAATGTGCTGTCTTTTGAAAGCAGCCTCCTACTTCATCACTAAGTAGGCCATGCTTTCTAAGTTGTTATTTCTGCTAGCGCTAATGAGTTTGCCTACATTCTAGCCTAATCACCTTTCTGACCAAAGCATGCATTTTCAAGGTAGTAGCTAAGGGTGAGGGGACCATTAAACTGAGCAAAGCCAATTGTCTTACAGTTGGAATTGAACCATTATTTTGACTCCATTAACAAGTTTTTGAACCAAGTGAATGGAGTTACCATGGATATCAAAAAAATAAAACAGCAAATATTATTTTTAGGGCCCTTCACAAATGAGTTTAGTTAAAATGAAAAATTTGAAATTGAAACTGTCACTCAAAACCACAATCTGTGGTTACTCCAAAAGTACAAGGAAGTATTTTGTCACTGTGGAGTTTTATTTGGAGGGGTAAATCATGTGAGACACAGAAATGAAGTAACGGGTTTTAGACCAAATTGCGTAAATGACAAGTTTACAAAAGAATGTACTTTTTGACAAGTACAAAAGAATGCTTATCCTCTTTTTGACAAGTACAAAAGAATGCTTATCCTCTTTTCTCTCATTTGTAGCTTTGCAGTATAGATCGCCCTGAAGAAGGAGGTTTGCCACCTTATGTGTTTGCCCTGATGGCCATTTTCTTTCTTCAACAGAGGAAAGAACCCCTTCTGCCTGTTTATCTAGGATCATGGGTATAAAACTTTTTTGCTTATGTATCTGATACTGATTTTATTACAGGGCCACAATCCCTTGTGTATAATTTCAGAGTGTAAAAACCTAACCAGAACTGACATGAATTTATTTATCCTACTATTGTGAATATTCATACCTTTCACTGCTGAAGTATTAATGTATTTGACTCAGGATGCTGCCCTGTACTCTGCTTAGGGACACTGTTACTTTTCTAAACTGAAAAAACTCTTGACTTATGGAACACATGATCTTGAGGTTTTCAGACAAGAGAATGTGAATATATTATCATTTGGTACACACTTTCTTTGGGTACAGTTTTATAATTTGATACTTGAATTTATATATCACCTCCAGACAGACTGTAGGAAGCTTTTGGTTCGCTATCACTTACTTTCTATTTCTAGTCTTTTGATTCTCTTTATGCCCCGTTCCCTGTGAAACAAAAGAAAATATAAGTGCTGAAATTGCTACCTATAGCACAAGATGCAGAACTTAGCAGTCAGTCACCTCTTGAATAATATATTGCTATAATCTTTAAGATGAATTAGACTTCAGTGATGTGACTGTTCTTTCTTTCTGGATAAGTTAAAGTTGAGCTGATGTATTCAAATAGTAAGATTTAAGAAGAAGCCACCTCAAAGTCAAAATGAGGTTATTCTCATTCTCTTGGAAACCTCACTGTTAATCCCTAGGTGTTTATCTTGATAAAAATCTTACGTGTACACTTACTTTATAAAAAGCGTCACTGGGTGAGAGCTTACTTTGGTACATCAGTATTTTAACTAGTCTTCTTAGCATATGCAGGATTCTTGTCATTTAAGGAGGAGATGTTCTAGAGCAGTAGCCCTTAATTATGGGTCTATAAAAAAAATAAGATTTTAAGGAATTTTTATATACTTAATAAGTTGAGAATTAAGCAGGGACCTTTGTCTGCCAGGCCCTGAGAATAAAGACTAAAGCAGAATAAGTCCTATATAAACTCTGTCTTGGCATTAGGGATTGCAGTCTGCTGTGCTGTGACCCAGTTGCCTAAAGGGAGCTCTCTTTGTGCTTGTGGTACTGAAATGAAAAAATTCAGGGTATCCTTGCTAGTCTGCTCTCCTGGTAGAAAAAAGGGTGAGAGAACAAAATCAACCCTTAGTTGATAAATAACCCTTTTCATCAGACCCAAATAGGATTCTGTGAAAGTCTTTGAAGTTTTCTTTTCACTTTGATCCAAGAGAAACAGGAGTTTAAGATGGAACCAAACCAGTTGGACTCCTATGCCAAACAAAAAGCCTTAGAAGAGGTTGAGGCATTGCCATGCTCACTAATGTCTTAGTGAAATCTGCCTTTTCTTGTGTCCTCGTCATCTCTAAAGTAGGCATCTGTCACTGATGTGAGGATGCAGTAAAAAAAAAAAAAAAAAGTGCTTCTATTCTGCTGCTGGGATTCTCCTCAGGATTTGCTTAAGAGAAGCATGAATACCCTTTCCTGTGGCCAGTGTATTATTTCCTCGGGAGTAGTACTGGAAGTCCTCTAAGGTGACACAGAATTTGCTTTTGATTATACCATTTATTTATTTAAGATTTTTTTCTTCTCTACTCTTATTTATTTATTTATTTATTTAACCATCTTTATTGGGGTATAATTGCTTTACAATGGTGTGTTAGTTTCTGCTTTATAACAAAGTGAATCAGTTATACGTATACATATGTTCCCATATCTCTTCCCTCTTGCGTCACCCTCCCTATACCACCCCTCCAGGCGGTCACAAAGCACCGAGCTGATATCCCTGTGCTATGCTGTGCTATGCAGCTGCTTCCCACTAGCTATCTACCTTACGTTTGGTAGTGTATATATGTCCATGCCTCTCTCTCGCTTTGTCACAGCTCACCCTTCCCCCTCCCCATATCCTCAAGTCCGTTCTCCAGTAGGTCTGTGTCTTTATTCCTGTCTTACCTCTAGGTTCTTCATGACTTTTTTTTTCTTAAATTCCATATATATGTGTTAGCATACAGTATTTGTCTTTCTCTTTATGACTTACTTCACTCTGTATGACAGACTCTGGGTCTATCCACCTCATTACAAATAGCTCAATTTCGTTTCTTTTTATGGCTGAGTAATATTCCATTGTATATATGTGCCACATCTTCTTTATACATTCATCCGATGATGGGCACTTAGGTGGTCTCCATCTCTGGGCTATCGTAAATAGAGCTGCAATGAACATTTTGGTACACGACTCTTTTTGAATTATGGTTTTCTCAGGGTATATGCCCAGTAGTGGGATTGCTGGGTCATATGGTAGTTCTATTTGTAGCTTTTTAAGGAACCTCCGTACTGTTCTCCATAGTGGCTGTACCAATTCACATTCCCACCAGCAGTGCAGGAGTGTTCCCTTTTCTCCACACCCTCTCCAGCATTTATTGTTTCTAGATTTTTTGATGATGGCCATTCTGACTGGTATGAGGTGATATCTCTTTGTAGTTTTGATTTGCATTTCTCTAATGATTAATGATGTTGAGCATTCTTTCATGTGTTTGTTGGCAGTCTGTATATCTTCTTTGGAGAAGTGTCTGTTTAGGTCTTCTGCCCATTTTTGGATTGGGTTGTTTGTGTTTTTGTTATTGAGCTGCATGAGCTGCTTGTAAATTTTGGAAATAAATCCTTTGTCAGTTGCTTCATTTGCAAATATTTTCTCCCATTCTGAGGGTTGTCTTTTGGTCTTGTTTATGGTTTCCTTTGCTGTGCAAAAGCTTTGAAGTTTCATTAGGTCCCATTTGTTTATTTTTGTTTCTATTTCCATTTCTCTAGGAGGTGGGTCAAAAAGGATCTTGCTGTGATTTATGTCATAGAGTGTTCTGCCTGTGTTTTCCTCTAAGAGTTTGATAGTTTCTTGCCTTATGTTTAGGTCCTTAATCCGTTTTGAGCTTATTTTTGTGTATGGTGTTAGGGAGTGATCTACTCTCATACTTTTACATGTACCTGTACAGTCTTCCCAGCACCACTTATTGAAGAGGCTGTCCTTTCTCCACTGTACATTCCTGCCTCCTTTATCAAAGATAAGGTGACCATATGTGCCTGGGTTTATCTCTGAGCTTTCTATCCTGTTCCATTGATCTATCTTTCTGTTTCTGTGCCAGTACCATACTGTCTTGATTACTGTAGCTTTGTAGTATAGTCTGAAGTCAGGGAGCCTGATTCCTCCAGCTCCGTTTTTAGTTCTCAAGATTACTTTGGCTGTTCGGGGTCTTTTGTGTTTCCATACAAATTGTGAAATTTTTTGTTCTAGTTCTGTGAAAAATGCCAGTGGTAGTTTGATAGGGATAGCATTGAATCTGTAGATTGCTTTAGGTAGTAGAGTCATTTTCACAATGTTGATTCTTCTAATCCAAGAACATGGTATATCTCTCCATCTATTTATATCATCATTAATTTCTTTCATCAGTGTCTTACAATTTTCTGCATACAAGTCTTTTGTCTCCTTAGGTAGGTTTATTCCTAGATATTTTATTCTTTTTGTTCCATTGGTAAGTGGGAGTGTTTTCTTGATTTCACTTTCAGATTTTTCATCATTAGTGTACAGGAATGCAAGAGATTTCTGTGCATTAATTTTGTATCCTGCAACTTTAACAAATTCATTGATTAGCTCTAGTAGTTTTCTGGTAGCATCTTTAGGATTCTCTATGTATAGTATCATGTCATCTGCAAACAGTGACAGCTTTACTTCTTCTTTTCCGATTTGGATTCCTTTTATTTCCTTTTCTTCTCTGATTGCTGTGGCGAAAACTTCCAAAACTGTATTGAATAAGAGTGGTGAGAGCAGGCAACCTTGTCTTGTTCCTGATCTTAGTGGAAATGCTTTCTGTCTTTCACCATTGAGGATGATGTTGGCTGTGGGTTTGTCATATATGGCCTTTATTATGTTGAGGAAAGTTCCCTCTATGCCTACTTTCTGCAGGGTTTTTATCACAAATGGGTGTTGAATTTTGTCAAAAGCTTTCTCTGCATCTATTGAGATGATCATATGGTTTTTCTCCTTCAATTTGTTAATATGGTGTATCACGTTGATTGATTTGCGTATATTGAAGAATCCTTGCATTCCTGGAATAAGCCCCACTTGATCATGGTGTATGATCCTTTTAATGTGCTGTTGGATTCTGTTTGCTAGTATTTTGTTGAGGATTTTTGCATCTATGTTCATCAGTGATATTGGCTTGTAGTTTTCTTTCTTTGTGACATCCTTGTCTGGTTTTGGGATCAAGGTGATGGTGGCCTCGTACAATGAATTTGGGAGTGTTCCTCCTTCTGCTATATTTTGGAATGGTTTGAGAAGGATAGGTGTTAGCTCTTCTCTAAATGTTTGATAGAATTTGCCTGTGAAGCCATCTGGTCCTGGGCTTTTGTTTGTTGGAAGATTTTTAATCACAGTTTCAATTTCAGTGTTGTGATTGGTCTGTTCATATTTTCTATTTTTTCCTGATTCAGGCTTGGCAGGTTGTGCATTTCTAAGAATTTGTCCATTTCTTCCACGTTGTCCATTTTATTGGCATAGAGTTGCTTGTAGTAATCTCTCATGATCTTTTGTATTTCTGCAGTGTCAGTTGTTACTTCTCCTTTTTCATTTCTAATTCTATTGATTTGAGTCTTCTCCCTTTTTTTCTTGAAGAGTCTGGCTGATGGTTTATCTACTTTGTCTTCTCAAAGAACCAGCTTTTAGTTTTATTCATCTTTGCTATTGTTTCCTTCATTTCTTTTTCATTTATTTCTGATCTGATTTTTATGATTTCTTTCCTTCTGCTAACTTTGGGGTTTTTTTGTTCTTTTTTCTCTAATTGCTTCAGGTGCAAGGTTAGGTTGTTTATTTGAGATGGTTCCTCTTTCTTAAGGTGGGCTTGTATTTCTATAAACTTCTCTCTTAGAACTGCTTTTGCTGCATCCCATAGGTTTTGGGTCGTCGTGTCTCCATTGTCATTTGTTTCTAGGTATTTTTTTATTTCCTCTTTGATTTCTTCAG